ATTACTACTTTTTTACTTAATTTTTATATTCCGAAAAGAAATCCGGAAGGAATAAAATTGTGTGATTTTAATAAATCGATAATTGTAATTTTAATAAGTGAAGAAGATGAGATTATATAAAATCGTCGTAAAAAGATGCGGCAACTTAATCTCGTTTGCTCGATTTATGAGAATCACACAATTTCATTCTTCTCGGGATATAAAAATTAAAGGAAATAATAATAATAAATTAATTTCCATAGTTTTCCAGTCAAGATTTCTAAGATAAATTTAATTTTTTAAATAAATAGATCTAATAATTCTTTTTAGTTGGAGTAATTAATTATTTAAATTTTTATTAAGAGATAAAACTGCTCAAAACTGCTAACTTTACTTACTTTAACAAATAAAATTTACCAATAATAATAATCAATTTATTAATGTTATATGTAGTACCAACAAATAATAAAATCACAAAATTAACTACAATAAAATGAGCAGAAAATTAATAACAAATGACGGATCGAACGTAGTTAATATGGCACGAGCAAAGTAAATTTTGCAATTTTGATTTTTCTTTGTTAACGACATGGCAACATATAACATAATATTTTGAAATATATTAAAGGGAAGGAAGCTAGCGGCGGCAACCGGAAATTCGCGTCGAGGAGACGAGGAGGCAAGGAGGTCAGACAACCCTTTCGCGCGGTAAGAAACCCGGAGAGAGGGAAAGAATATCACCGAGTCGGTCGGCGCCCTTTGTTTTTCTCGAGCATCTAACGAGGATTTACCGCTGTTACAACTACTCGCGTTCTCGGCAGTCGCCACCATCACCGGCGCAGCATCGGTGTGAAGATCTCTCGATGCCGGAGAAAAACGCGGGTATCTCGGTTCCGGTAGGAGTCGTAAGAATAAAGCAACGACGCCGTCTCCCGCAGGAACCAATTTAGCTACACGCTCGCGGACAGATTTAAATCAAATCAGTCTCATCGCTATATTCGCGAAAATTAATCCGCGACGAGCCGTCCTCCGAGTCTTCTTCTCGGAGAAATACCAGCATTACGAAAATTATTAATTTTACGATTTAAATCGTTATAATCAAATCACAATCGTCTACTATTTCTTTGTTTAATAGTGGTCGATGTTTAAGTCGCTTCTCTCTAATCAGAGATTTGAAAGTAGTTAGTTTGTTACGAGAACAAGGAACTGCGAATTTGACTATTTTTTCATATTCTATTTTACCAAAACAAAGAAAAAGATGGTAATAACCGCGAATCAACGTCGAAGTACTACTTATTATTATTCGGTTATTTATAATTATTTTAATTTAACGAGCTAATTATTTTTGTAGAGATACCTACATAGAATATAATAAACCGTGTCTATCTATCTATGCTTACAGATAACCTTCGAACACGATTAATTGGCTCCGTGTTATTCGAGACTTTGGATTTATACAATTTTGGCGATCACGTTCCGTGCTATTGAAAATTGTGCAATTCAAGGCTCCAAATCTGTACAAAATTGGGCATTTTATTTCAAAGGATTATTTAAAAAAATACTTGAAAAAAATAGGATCGTCCCAATTTTTTAGCGTGCTATTCGAGACTCCGTGAAATTCAAACGCCGTGTTATTCGAGGGTTACTTAGTATTTTACATATCTCTCTTTCGATTTTTCGTTGTCTAATTATTTCATCTAATCACTCGCATGATCTTCCAAACAAAATCGTCAACGTTCGAGAGTAACATGTGGCCGAGGGAGAAATCTCTCGATTTATCGGCGCACTCATCCCGGAGTTGCATCGACAATCTTGGCTGATTCGAAAGTCTGCGGCGCGAGGAGGAACAAGTAGAAAAGGACGACGGCGATCGCGACCTGGCGCGGGGCGACGCGACGAGGCGAAGGAAGCCTTGATATATCCGCCAAACACAAGGGGCCCGAACACCTCGGCGGGATTTATCGGGACTGCGGATAATGGATGGCTTCGCGCAGCCACCAAGGACGCCGCTTTTTTTAAATAATACAACGCAGAAAGGTGAAAAATTCCTGGCTTCCGCTATAATCGCGACTACCAGAATATGACGGGATATAATAAATATTACTGAAAAACTGTCAGTTTCGTTTGTTAAACAAAACCGTGTAAACGGTTCAAATAATTCTGTAAATCTTTACCCAATACACTTATCAATATAGAGGTATCTTATATTCATCATTACGATAAAAAGATGAGTAACGTTATCAGACAAATTTCTAAAATCCTGCTTACAACTACTTGAAAAGTTTAGGATAACGACCAAGAGAATTTCAGAATCTTTTACAATCTTCACATATGTAATTACATATAACAGTAAGTATACATGATGAGCGGATATAGATATACGTTTTTAAAGTTGAGATAAAAAATTCTGATGATACGGTACCTCCTGTCTCAATCGTGAATATTATACGTGAAATCAAAAGAGTATCAAAGAGCGTTAGTTACGGCAGCAACGACGAAACTCAAAAGGATTTCGGCGACTCGAGCTTCAGGTGTAGCGCAGTGACGACAGCTTAACAGCCTTAACCGGCTTTCCAGAGTAAATTTACCTCTAGATTTACACTAAGATTTAAGGAGAAGCAAGAACGGCCGGCGTCGAGGCGGACGAACCGCGAGACAAAAACCGCGGAGGCACCGTCGTCGGATTGGATCCACCGCGGGAATGTATTTAATTCGATTGGCCTTTACCGCCGCCGCCGCTGTTGAAGCAAGGAGGGTGAGAAGAGCGGGGTGGCTTTTATCAGGGGGGGGTGAGAGAACCTCTGTTTCCGCCGGAAATGAGGCCCTCGCTACCCCACGTCGCCCCGCGCCAGCGACCTACTCTCTCCCTATCAACCTTTCCTCCTTTCTTCCCTTTCTCCCGCCTTCCTCGTCGCAGTCGCTCTTTCTCGTCGTCGCCGTCGTCGTCGAGGATGAAAATCGTATTTATATCTCATCTCTCGCGCGCTCAGGTAAATATTACGAGCGAGTGTATGCACCTGCCGCTACGAGCTATGACAAGCAAGATCCACGACGCCGAAAAATCGGCGCTCTCGTCGCGATGTTACTCTCAGCATGCCGACCTGGCCGCGCTTAGATATTTTACATTTGCAAATTTCGAACGTAGCAACAAGAAGTTATAAAATCAGAAACTACTCCGGTTTACTTGTCGCAAGAGAGGTGTGTTAGTTGCGTTTGCGCATTAAAAATTAATAGTAATAAAATTAAAGAGTAATAATTAATAAATATCCTGAATGAAGAAATGAGTTTTAATGCCGCCGTATTATGAAAAGCGACTTTTATTAAACTAGGACTACTTAATTCGTACAGTTACAATTATATTTAGATATTTCAGATCAAATGTTATTTTCTTCCTACATTGCATATAGTTAGTGAAGATGTATAAGGTTGACAATTATTTTATTTATAGTTGACACACGTATCTTAGAAAATGCAACGACGAGATTGTGTTTATGGATTGAAACCCTTTGTCTCGGATAGCAACTAAATGTGTTGGCAATGTTCCACATTTCTCATATATTTATCTAATTAATTTTTTCCTTTGTCTACATCTTTCTGTTGTACCTATCTTTCTAATCATCCGAGGAATTCAAGCGGTTAAATCAATTCCAATGGGTAATTTCGCGACATGGATTTCGCTCACGGAAATACTGCTGCATCTCTCGAAACGCGTCCGTTCGCAGACAGACGTATCTTATTTCTCTTACAAACGCAAATTAATTCGAACTCCGACATAAAGTAATATAAAATCCGTACAATGATCCGATCAACTGATCGACCGGACCACCCACGGGTTCTTCCCGTTAGATGCGCGCCTTCCTCGAGGGGGTGCGGACCGCGAGGGCGATCTCATCCCCGAGTCCCTTCCCCTCGGCTGACTATATTCATAAGCTCTCTTAGAACAGGTACGGACCGCTACTCTCTTTTTCCCTCCCTTTATATTTTTTGTTTTTATCGCTCACGAATCCCCGAATAAGGCGACGGGGGATCTAGAGCCAGAGCGGCAGAGAATCGAGGTGGAAGAAGCTTACCGTTGCTCGTCTCTCTAGGCGGATGTCGACTCTGGCTCTCCCTTCTCCGGCCATCCTGCGAGATGTAATTTTCGCTGTATGCCGAGATTAGAAGCCAGCTCGTCGGGGTAACCCCCGGTTCCGCCCGCCTGATAAGTATTGCCTGCCCCGTGCCAGTCTCCTCCTGAATGCCCTAGAACTGGAAAAGGGATTCGAGAGATGATCTCGGTACGATCGATCGGCCTTACGACGTGACGTCACGAACGACGATGGGTGCCCGTTATATCTCGTTAAGGAGCTACGTATACCCACCATAGGCGCGGATTTGCGGAATCGCCTTGAGCATAATGAAGATCTACTACGTCGAACTGTTAAATAAATGTCATTGCTATTAATACATCTTAAGGCGGACCGCATTGCAAGCCCTGTATGATAACTCGTTTAAACAAGGCCGTATATAATTAAAAGTAAAGATTAATCTAATGTGTAAAATATTCGTGAATTCGCGTAAGAGACTGAACAAGAATTCTTTTCAAGGCGATTCACATTAGAATTAAAATTGGATGAAGAGGAGCGTGCGGTGGAAGCAGGATGCGATTCAAAGGTAAAAAGAGTATCGCTTTCATCCCACACTCCCTTCGTATTCACTTCGCGTCGTCTTTGCGATAGAGCGGGGCGAAACTTTTGCTAGACGAAATCTCTGAAAGATTGTATAATCGGATTAATCAAAGTTACGGTTAAAAAATCACATAAAAAAGAATATAAGTAACTGTAAGTACAAATAACGGATACTAATGTAATGCGCTATATGTTTAAAAATATATATCTTCAATTAAAAATATTAAAAATTAGCCACATCAAAAAAATTACTTAATGTTCTGCAATAGTGCAAGATTCAACGAGATCGCCATTTAAAAAACGGTTCAGGGATGATGTGGATAAATCATCAGAAGTGTGCCATAATTTTCATTTATTATATAAGACTTACAATCTATAAATTGTATAATAAAATTTGACGAAAATTGTGATCTGAATTAATTTTACATCTGCTACTAACTGAAATTTGGTTTCCTGATAACATTAAAAAACTTGATTATATTTGACTATGCATCTCTTGCCACTTTCTTTATCTTCGCTTATACAGTTGTCACTTTTCTATGTAAGGGTTATATTTTCTGTACGGAAAAATAATCTCCCAGTTTGAATGTTTTCAGTATAAACAGCTAAACAGAAGAAAATCCGATTTGTACAGTTGAACACGTCCGATTAATGACCATATCTGTAAATAGAAATAACAAAATTGTCATACTTATTCATATATGTATACACATAATTATTTAATTATCTTAAAAACAACTAAAAAACTCAATTTAAACTTTATTAAGATATCTACTTACACATTCTATTTAAATATCTCAACATTCTTAATTTTGTACTTAAAGAATTAAAAAACAGGACAAAAGTACCACATATGTAACGAAACTTATATATTAACAAATGGAAATCTACTTACTTCTGAAACTCCCATTCACGATTGTCAAGTGGACACACCTGTCTTGTTTTCAGCCAACGTGAGATACAATGAAAATGGAAGGCGTGCTGAACAGAAAGACACGGTTACGGTAATAACAAGTGGAATACAACCGTATATGATATGCAATTAAATTAAATTAAGGAAAACGCTGTTAAACAGTCAGAACTGAATCTTGGTTGTCTTTATTATTCGCGTAAATTTATATGCAAAGAAAGGTGTGTGTGATTTGTTAAAGCAAAGAATTGTACATAAATTCACGCAAATATCAGACAATCCAAGATCCAATCCTGGAGATGAAGCTCGATTCTTAAATTTATTCACAAAAGAAACGTATACATATATAAACAAATTCGGCTCTTACAGAAAAGTTGCAAGTTGATTGGCTATCAGCATAGCTTTTAGCCAATCGACTTGTACATTTTCATAAGAATGGAATTTGTACGCACGTTTATCTTGCAAATAAATTCAAGAATTGAGACCCTGATCATTTAACGACGATTACAATAAGATCCAAACAGAAACTTGACAGTGTCAAAGTACTATCAAACCTACGTTGCATACGCCCCAAGCTACTGTGCACTCCTCGCTTGTGGCGGACGCCTGGTTCGCCTGGCATTCGATACAGAGGTCCATGATGTGATTACGGCAAATAGCGCAATTGTCCACAACAATATCTAAAAGACAAAGTGCGAGAAATTGCGTTAGAGAGCGTTTCGCTGTACTTACTACTACACTACATTGTGCTTCAGAGACCGTACAGTCACGATGCTCGATCGTAGCTTTTTACTCACCCCAGGCCCATAGTGCCACCGCGTTCCACTGAAACGGACACGATCACGTTTAGCAATAAAGAAAATAACAAATCACAGGAGCACACTGTGGAGCCGAGCGGAGTGACAAAGCGTAAACAAGGTTAGAATTCACGCTTGCACGCCGCGCGGCGACTACGAGCGCACTCGATCACGCGTGATTCGCACGCACGTATCGACCCTTACCTTCTTCACCTCGAAACGTTTCTTCTCGCCTTTCCCGGTGCTGGAGGTCGGCAGATCACACTCGTCATCGTCGATCTCCATGGTCGTCGCCATTCTTTAATTTTGAAGCGTCGCCGGACCGAGTGACCCAAGTGGCGCTGCTGCTGCCGGAGTTGCCGGACACGCAGTTCGCGTTCGCAATTGATCAAACGACACCTTCTGAAGGTCAACTCAACCGCGTGGTATACGTGACTCCGTCCACGCGCGTCGAAGCGGAATAATTTATATTTGCCCGACGAGTAGTTTGAGGGAAAAAAAAAAAAAAAAAAAACGCGATCGCGCGTCAATTTATTCGCAAACGCTCCGGTACTTTACAAAATTGTATGCATGTATGTATATGTATACTGACCGGCAGGGATGCGCCTGGACATTTTGATATGTATGTGACATATATGTATATGTATATGTATTATGTCCAGGCATTCCTGCCGGTAGAGTGTACATACATACATACACCTAATCCTCGACAAATGAGAGGAATTATGAAAGATTCTCTCTCTGCTCTTTCACACACTGTCTTTCCGATCCTCTCTCTTCCACGCAGGAGCAAGCGCGATTGTAGGTTACTTCACATTGGAAGAAAAAAAAACTCTGAACTAGCGCAGTCAGTTCTGCAGCTACAAAGAACAAACATCGTGTTCGTCAAATAAGCCCGCTGTGCTCGAGAATTAATTCGCAACACGATCGAGACGGGAAATTAATAATCATGCGCGTGCGCGCGCATGCGCTCTAGTTACACGAACAAAATACACGCAAATATATTTTTTATTTCATTTGCAAATATCGGAGAGGCGACGCGGGAAACAACTCCGCTGCCTCCTCGTTGCGCTTAAAATATTCCTTCGACAGCGATGATTCGTGACAGAAGCAATATGCAGATTCACTCACCGCTGTCCGGAAAGTTGTTGGCGCCAAGCTCCGTCCGGTCGATCCGCTCGTCGCGAGGCTCGTCGCACTCGGAATACGCGAGACGCGAGAAGCGCGGGCGATTACGCGACGCGGCGATCGTCCGATATCGTTCGGCATCCTTCGACACGAGTCCACACGCGGCACTCGCTCCCGGAAAGAGAAAATAATCGCGAAAATCGCACGGAAATCGCGGAGCCGCTACGTCCCGGCGGCAATCGAACGCGACGCGACGCGCACAATATGGCGGCCCTGCGCGCATGCGCGACTCCGAATCCGCCCGCCACTGGCGCGAAACGACGGAATTATGTATTCGAGCGGTCGAGCCGTTTAATTTCTTCGCCGCCATTTCGATATTAAGTACGATATTAAGTACGTCGAACGGCACGTACTTAGTCGAATATCTTCCCGCGGCGATGTATCGTCCTCCGTGCCTGTAAAAAATGAGCAAAAGGAATTGAAAAGACAAGGGAAAAGCCGGCAAGGGAAGAATCAAACTCATAACTCTCAAAATAGAGTCCCCATTTTCGGAATTAATTTGTTCCCCTTGTGTCAGCAATGCTAGGAATATTGCAATTATGCCGCTTCGAAATCAACTTCGAACTTCAAAGCTTCAAGCTTCAAAGACATATTTTAAGGCGCCTTTTCATGTTGACGCTCGACGCTCATTTTCAGCAAGCAAAAATATTTAGAAATAATAGTTGCTTTCCATTTACATCCAAACTCAGATAATTCTCACTTGTGATGTCATTCTATCTTTATTATTCATTAATTGCCAAAAAGGATAAAACGACGTCACAAGTGAGAATTATCTGAGTTTTGATGTAAATGGAAAGTACCTATTATCTTTTATTTATATAATATATGTATCCATAAAATAATTATTACGTGAAGACATTACTTGAAAATAATTAATATTTTACGTATTTCGAAGTGTATGTTTGATTGTACTGGGACGATTTAAACAAATTCAACTTTATTTCTTTGATGCTATATAGCGTCAAAGCGAAACCACCACGTTCACCTTGTTGACGCTCATTTTCAGCGTCTCCTGAAATTGGCACCTTACAACTTCGATAGTTATTCAAAGTTAACTTCGAAGCTGTGAATCTTCGAAGTTGTCAAAAGTAACAACCCTAGTCGCGAGCCAATATTTCACGGGGCCAATACCATATTTCTTTCCGACATTTCCATCGGCCTCTCTCGCTCCCGCGCTCTCCTTTCCAAGATCCGACGCGCGAAACGCGAAACGCGCGCTTTCGAAAATCTCAAGAGAATTGTCGCACAGCGGGCGATAGAGTAAGGGGTTGGGGGGAGGACAGAGAGAGAGAGACGGTTGGCAGCATTGACCGGCAGGAAAATGGCGTAGCTGTTCCGCTGCTACACACGGGCGAGGAACGTGTTTTCGCGGCGTCACTGGCGCGTCGCGTCTAACATGTAGTAAAATACAAGACAGGCCGCGTACGATCGTGCTAACGTGGGTCGCGAGCTCGTCTTGTCATTTCCGTAACGCCTATCGTGCAATTCCGATGAGATTCCGGTGATACGTTTCTGGCTGCACGTCCGCAATGGCCGACGACTCCGCTCCGCTCCCGAAGAGGCGCCAATTGGTAAACAAAGAGCGCGCGCGACGACGCCGGCGTCGATGCCGGAGTCAACGACGTCGGATGCCGTTGCTGGCGACGGCAACGGCAACGACGACGTCGACGTTCGCGTCTCGCCGCCGCGTCGAGTGATGCCTCGAGCGGCATCCGTGTCTCCACGTGTTGTCTCTCATCCCGCGTGTGTGCCATCTTACAGCGCGAGCGAACTAGGAAGCTGTACACGGACGACTGGACCATAGGCGACGAGGAGATCGAGGGCCGTAGGACCTTCCCGCTCGACGAGAAGATCGAGGGCGAGAAGTACGACCTGAGCAATTTCAGCGGCCTCTTCCGCGAGATGAACGGATCCGACCTCAATCTAACTTACCTGCAGAAACATGGTCTGCAGATACCGCTGCTGTTCAGAGAGAAGTCCGGGCTGGGCTTGCGAGTACCCAGCTCCAATTTCTCCGTTAACGACGTCAGAACCTGTGTTGGTAAGTGCCAGATTTTTTTAGGGAGAGAAAAACTTGACAGATTGATAGATGTTGCTCGATAGATGTTTAACAACGGCATTTGTATTGATAGGTTCTAAGAGAGTGCTAGACGTTATGGACGTTAATACTCAGAAGAATGAAGATATGACTATGAAGGAGTGGCAGAAGTATTACGAAGATCCCAACAAGGAACGCTTGTTGAATGTGATCTCATTAGAGTTTAGTCATACCAAGTTAGAGAATTACGTACAATCGCCTGCACTAGTGCGACAAGTAGATTGGGTAGACGTAGTGTGGCCGAGGCATCTGAAGGAGGCTCAGGTGGAATCTACCAATCTACTAGAGGACATGATGTATCCGAAAGTACAGAAGTATTGTTTAATGTCGGTAAAAGGTTGTTACACTGACTTTCACGTTGACTTTGGTGGTACGAGCGTGTGGTATCACATCCTGCGTGGTGGCAAAATCTTTTGGTTGATCCCACCCACGGAGAAAAACTTGACTCTTTATCAGGAGTGGGTGCTGAGTGGCAAGCAATCGGATGTATTCTTTGGTGATATGGTAG